ATATTTTAGTTATTTCTTGGATGAATTTATTTGTCATTTTTCTCATAAGTTACATGTTCTTAACTGAAGTTTCAAAAACTAGCTCATAAAAACTCAGGAAATTATTGTGTGTTTTAAGCAGTTAATAAACTTACATACTTGAAATAAAATTACTCCTTTAGACTTTTGTCTTCATTGCCCCTACTCATTCTTCATGGTACTTTTCATTACAGTACCTACTGGACAGTGACCACAAGCTCCCTTCCCTGACCCTCCCTTTTGTCACCCCTCGTCCCACGCCTGGGTCATCCTTGTTCCTCTGCACGGCTATTGTTGTGGAACAATATACATACAGGACTCCTCTGTGTGTATAATCTGTCTACCACATGAGAGAAAACAAACACAAGGTATTTGATTTACTGTGACTGGCCTATTTTGATTAATGTGGTGATATCCAGTTGCACCTATATTTTAGCAAACACCACAACTCTTCATTATGGCTCAGAACACTTCCGTTGTGTATATTCGTCACAACTTCCTCATCCGTTCCTCAGATACACACTCAGGTTGCTTCCATTTCCTAGCCATTCTAAAGAATACTACAATCAGCACTGCTGTGCAAGTATCTCCCTAACATGTTGAGTCCATTGGAATGGTATTGCAGGTCAAGATGTAGACCTTGTTCTGGTTTTCTGACGTACCACAATACTGATATCTATGGAGGTCTGAGGACTTTACTATTTTACATGCCCACCAGGACTATATAGTGATTCCTTCTTGTGTACATCGTTGCTAGCGTTTGTTCTTGTTCTCTGATTGACTGCCATCGTGAACAAGCTGATGCAATTTCATTAATTTTTAATTTAAATACTCCAATTCCTCTCAGTTTCAACATTTCTACCTGGGTTTTCTTGGGGGGGGGGGCTATATTTCATTGCTGACACTGTTCTTAATTTGCCAGTTTACGCAGTGGGTTGCTTTATTTGCAGACACACGAGGTGATCCAGCACATGCTGGGCTACCACGGCAGAAGTCACCAAGCTGGAGGATGACATCAAGGCCTGACATTGCTACAGGTCCAAGGTGTACTACATATACTTTAAGATCAGAAATATGGAAGAGAATCTCAGGTAGCTCTGATGCATCTCACCACAGGTACACCAGTGATATGCCAAGTACATCACCCATGTGCTGAGGAAATAAGGTCAAGAATCAAAAAATGGGACCTCATTAAAATAAAAACCTTCTGTGCATCAATTGAAGCAATCAAGGAAGTGAAGACAAACCCACAGAGGGGCAGAAAATCTTCACAAGACACATCTGACAAGAGTAACATCCAGAATATATACAGAATTTAAAAATCAAAGAATCAAGAAAAGAAGAAACCCAATTCCAAGATGGACTAAGGAGAGGAAGAGAGAGTTTTCAAAACAAGTAACTAAAATTGGTAAGAAGCATCGTAAAGGTGTTTGTCATCATTAGTGATGTCGGAAATACGAAAGGAAAGCCACTGAGTGTTCATCTTACCCCACTCAAGCTGTCTCAGATCAACAGAACAAATGATTCCACATGCTGCAGACAACGTGGGGAAAGGAGAACGCTGGTCTACGGCTGCTGGTATTGCACAATTTTTCAACCCCTGTCAAAAGCAGTGTGGAGGACCTCTAAAAAACTAAATTTAACCTATCATTGGACACAGTTATAGCACTCTTTGGCAGATACCCAAAGGACTCATCCTACTACAGACGCTCATGCACATCCATGTTACATGCTGCTGTTTTCACAACACCTAAGAGACGCAAGCAACCTAAGTGTCCCTCAAATGACCAATAGGTCAGGAAAATGGTGTACACCAGAAGTCAGGTTCAAAAGGACATTTCATTTTCCCTTTACAGTAATTCCTTCCAACGACAGAGGCTCTATGACTACTCATTCAAGGTTTCTAGACCTAAGAATGAAAAGAAATACCTACCTTGAGATGAAGAAGCACTGGTCCTCGGGCATCTTCCTCCTGTAGGTACTCCTGAGAGCTGAGCGGTCGCTGGTATGCAATTCCAGTCCCGGGTATGTCCTCAGGTCAGCAGGCGGCGGCGTGGGCAGGACGCCCCCAAAAGGGGGCATCACCGCCTTTCCTAGGCGACTCCAGGGAGCCCGCCCCCCGGCATTCCGCGCCTCAGGGACACCACAGGAACCAGGCCATGCCGCACCAGGCAGCCTGAGTGCACTGCTGGCCTAGACCCAGAGTTCCAAAACTCAGGTCCCTAGCTCACCGCTCACCCCAGCCTTCCGGACCGCACCCATTGCCCAGAAGCAGGAGCCTAGCCTGCACAACTCCTTCGCCGCCAGGAGGGGAAGAGGAAAAAGAAGAAAATCCTGAGCAGAGCTGAGTTGCTGCTGAGTCGGGCTCCAGGCCTTGGGACAGCGGGCGCTCACGGCCTGGCGTCACGGCTGGCTAAGGAAGGACCTCTGAGGCCGACACGCCGACCTCCGAGGCCAACACGCGGTCGGCAGGCTCACGACTGCAGCCCAAGCCAAGTAAGCACGCCACGCTCTGATGAAGGAGGAAAGTCAAAGGTTATACAAGATTGACAGATCTTTAGCCCAGTCTACCAAAAGCAAGAAACAGCACCTCCAAATAAACAAAATCAGAGATCAAACCTGAAACACCACAACAGACACCAGGAGGGTCCACAACATGAAAAAGGAATACCTTAAAAACCTATACACTCCTTCCTAAAACCTAAAAGAAACGGACAGTAATCAAACAGCAGGGGAATCACAAAAACTAAACCTTATGACTTCCTATCTGGACTGAAGAGCCCAAATTTCAATATTCCATCCCCTTCCTCCAGTATTTCCATTCCTTCTATCACTACTTCCACAATGTTCTCTGAGCCTTGCAAGGTGGGATATATATGTAAAACTCTGCTGAGTATTGGACTCTCAACATAGAGGCATCGACTTTCAGCAGCTTACTGGGTTTGAGTGCCGTCAATAGTAAACACCACCAAACACAAGAGGTTCGCCTCCAAGTTCAAGGCAGAGAGCATCAGTAATAGCAACATGGCTGTGTTTATCTGTGCAATGAAACACAAGTGTTCAGAAGACAATCGGACAGTCCCATCAATTCAACGAAGCAAACTAATACCAGTTGTTTCCCTGTTCCAGCCACAGGGCTTTGTCTTTTTAACTCCATACATTTTTATTTTTTCTGTGTTTGAGTGTCATGCCTGATGTATGTAAGTGCACCCGTGTTAGTGCCTGTGGAGGCCAGAAGAATGTGGGGGAACCCCAGGGACAGGAGTTACATTTAAGACATAATTGCAATGTGAGTGCTGGGATTTGAACCCTGGTCTTCTGCATGAGC